CAGATAGATACAGAGCAGGCTTATAGCAGACATATAACCTTAGAGTACAAGGCTTCATGGGCAGCCGATTATTGTCCCCCCTCCACTCCCCACCGGGGGTCTGAATCTGCTTATAATAAATTTTCTGCACTTTTGCTTAAATCTTCTGGTCCACAGAGCTTATTCTTCAGCTTTGCAAGACATGATTTGACTATCTTGGTTATCCACTTCATTATTTCTCCATACATATACTAAAAATATTTCTGAAGTGTATTATAAATATATTCTTGTTGAGGATATTTTTTTTTTTACCAATTTTGAAAGGCTTTCTGCCCCTCCTTGGCTGAAGGGATGTGTAGGATGGTGTAGAGGATGTGGAATGCTAAGCTTATAATTACAGCTTAAAGATTAAGAAGCTCAGAAATAGGCTAGTGTCAGAAACATTAAGACATAGCAGACATGGTAGTGGTATACTGAGTTTTTTTGTATTCTCTGGCAAAATTGCATAAGTCATTAATGATATATGTAAGAAAGCCCTATAAGTTTGAGTGCAAGGTAAAAAAACTGTCTAGGAGGGGATAGTTCATGGAGATCAGGACAGGAGCTGCATTTGCAGAGAAAAGGAGGCAATTTCCCCCTTTCCTCAGGTCCAGCTCATCTTTTTAAAAAATATACCTATTTTTACTGATTTCAGAGAGGAAGGGAGAGGAAGAGAGAGATAGAAACATCAATGATGAGAGAGAGTCATTGATTGGCTGCCTCTAGGATGGAGCCCACAACCCGAGCATGTGCCCTGAGTAGGAATTGAACCATGATCTCCTGGTTCATAGATCAACACTCAACCACTGAGCCATGCTGGTCAGGCCAGCTTTTTAAGAGGAGCTTGTTCATTTTCTCACTAAATACCTGTTTCACTTGCTTGTTCCTCAGTGTGTAGATGAAGGGGTTAAACATCGGGGTCACCACTGTGTTGAGCAAGGCCACAACCTTATTCCTGTCCTTCCCCTGGTCACCCTTGCCCAACCGGATATACATGAAGATGCAGCTGCCATAGAAGAGAGACACAACAATGATGTGGGAGGAACAGGTTGAGAAGGCTCTCTGCCTCTCCTTGGCTGAGGGGATGCGTAGGATGGTGTAGAGGATGTGGCCATAGCAGGTGGCCGTCACAGACAGAGTGCCCAGTAAGCTGAAGTTGGCCACAATAAAGCCCAGAAGCTCTATCAGACTTGTATCTGCACATATGAGTTCCAGGAGTGGAAAGTTGTCACAGAAGAAATGATTAATGATATTGGGGCCACAAAATGGCTGCTGAAATATGATGAAAGTTGGAATGATGATGAGGATGAATCCTGTCATCCATGAACAAAGAACTAGCTGGACACAGACCCTTTTGCTCATGATGGTGGCATAACGCAAGGGATTACATATGGCCACATACCTATCAAAAGACATCACTGCCAGTAGGAAGAACTCTGTTGTGCCCAGGAAGAAATATAGGAAACTTTGTATGAAACAGCCTAGTAGGGAGATGGTCTTATATCCGGTCAGGATGTTGGTCAGCATTTTGGGGAAGATGACTGAGGTAAACCAGATCTCCAGGATAGCAAAGTTACGAAGGAAATAGTACATGGGAGTGTGGAGGCGCCTGTCTATGAGGGTGACGACCACGATGAGGAGATTCCCCAGTAGAGTGAGGAGGTAGGTCAGGAGGAGCCCCAGGAAGATGAGCATTTGCAGCTCACAGGCATCTGAGAGCCCCAGGAGGACAAACTCAGTGACAGTGGTGTGGTTTCCCATGGTTCCTCTGACCTCTTCTGGGATGACCAATCAGAGGTGTGTAGCATTTGGAGCTGTGTTGATCTGGGGAATCTGAGGCCACCTAAAACTGAAAGGAAAGAGGAATGAGTGTCATACTTTGAATGGAAGGAATCCTTTATTTCTGTGAAGGACATAACTTCCCACCACTGACCACACAGGCTTATTTTGCAGAGCCCCTGTCTTATGTTTGGTTCCTGGTGTGTCTGTGTGTTAGAAGAGAAAGTGGTGATCTGCAGGGTGACCTAAGTAAGACCTCAAACCAAAAATTATCCTTGCTTACTTTTCTTAACCAAACTTCTATTACTGATTCTTCAATGAATTCCTTTGTGTTAACATTATAACCTATTTTCAACATTTAAAATGTTTATTTTATTTTTTATTCAATATTATTTTTATCTTTATTTCAATACTGGGTCTTCATTCATGAGTAGTTCATATTTGAGGTGGTAACTTTTCTGCTTTACTTAGTCATTCATGATACAGATCCATGTTCATGGGTAAACTGATTTAGAATGTGTAGACACTCTATTGCTGTTTCAAGATTACCTGAATCTCTGATGCTTTTCATTAGTATTTGGATTAATACAAAGGAAAGAGGAAATCTGTGAAAGAAAAGCCCAACTCTTACAAACAAAAATATTCAAGTAATACATGCATAAATAAAAGTTCTTTAGTGGGAGCTTAGATTCAAGGTTCTTAATGATGTTCCAAAAGATAGACCCAGATTCTCCTCTCATAACATCTTCCAATGGGCTCTAGATAAAATAGACTCGTTGTGATTTTTTGATCATTTATGCATTTCATGCATTTGTTCTTTTGCATGTGGCATTCATTCTGTTTGGAATCATCAGCCATTCAAATCTTACTTATCCTTTAAGTCCCTCCCCCACACATGCTGTTTTTTCCTATGGAGACTTTTCTTCTGAATGAATGATTCTTTCCTCTGTATCCCTCACAATGTTATTATGTCTCATTTAATTTTCATTATGTTTTGTTTTTCATTTCTTGCTTGAGTCAAAAATTTCTTTATTAATCTTTGCATTTTACATAGCCCTTAGAAGAAGTTACTTGAAATAATCAGATTTAATAAACACTTATCAAATGAGTGAATAATACCTCATTGGCTCATCTGAAGAGAGTTTGCTTTTCTTTATAAAGAGGTGGAGATGTCTCCCCACAAACATTCTTTTTTTTTTGAATATATTTTATTGATTTTTTACAGAGAGGAAGGGAGAGGGGTAGAGAGTTAGAAACATCGATGAGAGAGAAACATCAATCAGCTTCCTCCTGCACACTCCCCACTGGGGATGTGCCTGCAACCAAGGTACATGCCCTTGACCGGAATCGAACCTGGGACCTTTCAGTCCGCAGGCCGACGCTCTACCCACTGAGCCAAACCTGTTAGGGCTCCCCACAAACATTCTTAAGGGTTACCCTCCATTTTTGAGATGGTTTAGAGTTTGAGCTAGGAAGTAGACAGTGGTCTGGTTGGGTCTGCTAGACTGTTCCTAGCAGCAAAAAACCCGAAAACCCTTTAAAAGATCTCTCTTTTAAAGTCAGCATCCTTGGTGCTCACTTTGGCAGCATATTTACTAAAATTGGAATGATGCAGAGAAGACTAGCATTGCCCCTGAACAAGTGTATTGTGCACATTTGTGAAGCATTCTATATTTTTAGATCTGGTGAACACCACTTGCCCCTACCTGGTGACTCACTGAGAACATATCCCAGGCAACTTGAATACCGCCAGAGGATTTTTCAGTGACTGAACCAAACAGGCAGCCAATAGATGGAGGCAGGCAAAGGTAGATTTCACTTTTTTTTTTTTTTTGAGACTTTTGCTCACCTGCTCCAGGGTCTGGTGCTGATAAAGGCCAGCCTTGGTGCACAGCTTGATCCTCACTGTGCACAACCAGGCACAGCAGAGCCAGCCACAAACTGTGGGCCACTTTGTAACTCCAAATGAGTTGCGTAGGGCCAGTCATAGGCTGTGTCTGACATTGGCCCGCACCAAGAGGCTCCAGAACCAATACACCCAGTGGCTAGCTTCAGACAACGTCAGAACAGTATCAAATCAGCTTCACAAGAGGCATATCCAAAGGGAGATCAAGTGGGATTTATTCCTGGGATGTAATGTTGATACAATATCTACAAATCAGTAAATGTGATACATCACATAAGTAAAAACAAAGGATAAAAATCACATGATCATATTAATAGATGCAGAAAAAGCATTTGATAAAATCCAGCACCCATTTATGATAACCTTCAGCAAAGTGGGAATAGAGGGAAGATACCTCAACGTAATAAAGGCCATATATAACAAACCTATAGCCAACATCATACTCAATGGGCGTAAACTAAGTGTTTCCCTTAAAATTGGGAATAAGCTCTCGGCAGGTGGCTCAGTTGGAGCATCATCCTGTACACCAAAAGGTTGCGGGTTTGATTTCCAGTCAGGACACACACATCCTGTACACCAAAAGGTTGCAGGTTTGATCCCTGATTGGGGCACATATGGGAGGCAACAACTGATGCTCTCTCACATCGATGTTTCTCTCTCTCCTTTTCTCTCTCTCTAAAAATCAATAAAAACATATCTTTGGGTGAGGATTCAAAAAAAATCATGAACAAGACAGGGATGTTTGTTTTCACCATTTTTTAAAAATGTTTTTATTGATTTCAGGGAAAGGAAGAGAGATAGAGAGATAGAAACATCAATGATGAGAGAGAATCATTGATTAGCTGTCTTCTGCATGCCTCCTATTGAGGTTAGAGCCTGCAACCCTGGGTAAATGCCCTGACCTGGAATCCACTGTGACCTCTTGGTTCATGGGTTGACATTCAACCACTGAACCACACAGGCTAGGCTGCTTTCACAATTCTTATTCAACATAGCACTGCAAGTCCTAGACACAGAAGAAGAAATATTAGACAAGAAGAAGAAATAAAATTAGACAATAAGAAGAAATAAAATTAGACAATAAGAAGAAATAAAATACATCCTAATTGGAAAGGAAGAAGTAAAACTGTCATTATTTGTAAATGACATAATACTATATATACAGAAGCCTAAAGATTGCACCCAAAACAACTAGAACTGGTAAATGAATTCAATAAAGTAACAGGATACAAAAAAATATCCAGAAATCAGTTGCATTTCTATACACCAATAATGAATTATCAGATAGGGAAACTAAGAAAACAATTCCATTTATAACAGCATAAAAAAAAGTCCTGGCCAGTGTCGCTCGGTGGTTAGAGTGTCAGCCCAAGCACCAAAGTGTCATGGGTTCGATTCCTGGTCAAGGGCACATACCTGGGTTTCAGGTTTGCTTCCTGCCCTGGGTTGGTATGCGGGAGGCAGCCAGAAGCAACCAGTGGATGTGTCTCTCTCACACTGATGTCTCTCTCCTTTTCTTCCCCCTTTCACTCTCTTTGGAAAGCAATGGAAAAAATATCCTCAGCTGAGGATTAACAAAAACAAAAAATATCTAGGAATAAACTTAACCAAGGATGTATAAGACCTGTACTCAAATTATAAGACACTAAAAAAAGAAATTGAAGAAGATACAATGTTCTTAAAATTAAGTGGAAGCTTATACCATGTTCATGGATAGGAAGAATTACTATCATTAAAATGTCCACATACTCAAAGAAATCTACAGATTCAACATAATTCCTTTCAAGATAGATGTATTTCACAGAACTAGAACAAATATTCCAAAAATACATATGGAACCACAGAAAAAAATTCAAATAGCCACAGCAATCTTTAGAAAGAAAAACAAAATTGGAGAAATCATACTGCTTGATATCAAACTATACTACAAAGCCACAGTAAACATGGTACTGGCAGAAAAACAGACATATAAATCAATGAAACAGAACAGAGAGTCCAGAAATAAACCCATATCTTTATGATCAATTAATATTTGACAAAAGAGGCAAGACCATACAGTGGGGTAAAGATAGTTTATTCAAAAAATGTTGTTGGGAAAATTGGATATGTGCAAAAATATGAAACTAGACCACCTTCTTACACCATACACAAGAACAAACTCAAAATGAATTAAAGACTTAAATCTTAGACTTGAAACCATAAAAACATGAGAAGAAAACATAAGCAGTAAAATCTCAAACATTTCTCATAACAATATATTTTTTTCTGATATATCATCTCAGGCAAGGGAAACAAAAGAAAGAATAAACAAATGGGACTACATTAAACTAGAAGTTCTTGCATGATAAATGAACAAAATGAAAAGTCAGTCCACTGAATGGGAGAACATATTTGCCAATGATACATCTGATAAGGGGTTAATAATAAAAATGTATTACAAATGTATACAACTCAACACCAAAAAAAAAATCCACAATCCAATTAAAAAGTGGGCAAAGGACCTGAATAAACCCTTCTCCAAAGAGGACATACAGATGGCCAATAGCATATGAAAAGATGTCCTACGTCACTAATCACCAGAGAAATGCAAATTAAAAGCACAAGGAGATATCACCTCACACCTGTCAGAATGGCTATCATTAATAAGTCAACAAATAAGTGAAGGTGAGGACATGGAGAAAAGAGAATCCTTGTGCCCTGTTGGTGGGAGTGTAGGTTGGTTCAGCCACTGTGGAAAGCAGTATGGGGTTACCTCAAAAATTAAAAATGGAACTTGCCTTTTGACCCAGCAATTCCACTTCTGGATATATATCTGAAGAAACCCAAAACACTAATTGGAAAGAATATATGCACCCCTATGTTCATTGCGGCATTATTTACAACAGCCAAGATTTGAAAGTAGCCCAAGTGCCCATCAGAGAGAAGTTGACAATAAAACTGTGGTACATTTACACAATAGAAAACTACTAGGCTATAAAAAAAAAAAAGGAAATCTTACCTTTTGCGAAGGATAGCATTGATGGACCTGGAGAGTGTTATGTTAACTGGAATAAGCCAGTCAGAGAAAGACAAATGCCATATGATTTCACTTTCATGTGAAATTTAATGAACAAAATAAACTAACAAACAAAATAGAAATAGACTCATGGATACTGACAGCTGTCAAAGGGGAGGGTGTTGGGGGCTGGATGATCACGGTAAAGAGATTAAGAAAAAAAACAACTCAGACAGATAACAGTATGGTGATTACCAGAGGGAAAGGGTGGAGGGGGGAGATAGAAGAAGGTAAAGGGGGGATAAATGGTGATAGAAGGAGACTTGACTTGTGGTGGTGAGCACACAATACAATATACAGATGATGTGTTATAGAATTGTACACCAGAAACCTATATAATTTTATTAACCAATGTTACCAATAAATTTATCCAATAAATCCAATGTTACCAATAAATTTATATTATCCGATAAATTTAATAAGAAAATCAGCATCCTTGGAAGTTCCTGTCCTTAAGTAATATCAACTACTACTGTAATTATCAGGCAGAGCTGTAGCAAGAATTATTTGCCAACTTCTACAGCTGCGTTTCTCAACCTGTGGGTCGTGACCCCTTTGGGGGTGGAACGACCCTTTCACAGGGGTCGTCTAAGACCATCAGAAAACACATATATAATTACATATTGTTTTTGTGATTAATCACTATGCTTTAATTATGTTCAATTTGTAACAATGAAAATACATCCTGCATATCAGATATTTACATTACGATTCATAACAGTAGCAAAATTACAGTTATAAAGTAGCAACGAGAATAATTTTATGGTTGGGGGTCACCACAACATGAGGAACTGTATTAAAGGGTCGCAGCATTAGGAAGGTTGAGAACCACTGCTCTAGAGAATAAGATTGGGACCCAGTTTAGGTACTTGGGATGAAGAAAATACTAGGGAATATGGGTAGGGAGGAAGAAATTCTAAACTGTATACAAACTTCCCTTGGTTTTGCTTTTTTTTTTTTTTTTAGCACAGGCCACACTATTCAAAGTGATTTTACAAACTACCATTATACCTAATATTTGTTGATAGTTATTAAAGAACGCAAAATAGTCAATCAGCTTCTGAGGATATAACTATTTTCCACTGGTTATTTCTAGGCTCAATGTTGTCTAGATTGATCAGTGATTTGAAAAGGAAGTCTCTGCAGCTTACTAGTAATCATTGGGTTTGAAGGGTTTCTCAGGTAGCCAAGAAATGTACCCAGCTCTTTTCAGAACAGAGCAGGATCCACCATGAACATCACACTCAGAAACATCATCAGAAGCTAGTAGAATGAGTATTATTTAGGCGAAGTCCTAGGTAGGACACACTGAGAGGAAGATGGAAATAGAGACTAAGATGATGAAGAGTTGGATGTGAGTGGGGGGGAGAAAAAAGCTCTGGGTCATACTGAATCATGAGCTGAGCACAGATACACTGTGAAAATACATTGTGAACACCCTGGCTGGCGAGGCTCAGTTGGTTAGATCATCGTCTGTGCACTGAAGAGTCTTGGGTTTGATACCCAGTCAGGGCACATACCCGGATTGCAGGTTCAATCCCAGAGCAGTGTGTGTACAGGAGGCAACTGATGGATGTTTCTCTCTCACATCAATGTTTCTCTCCCTCTCCCTTCCTCTCTCTCTAGAAGTGATGAAAAACATGTCCTTGGGTGAGGATTAAAAAAAAAAGACATTGTGACCAGCCCAAGTATATAGCACATAGGGCTACTAATAAAC